TGAGTTCTGAAAATGGCACCAAGATTGCCATTTTTGGAGCTGGAACCTTCGTCAAGACCCAATACGTTCCAAGGCGCTATGAGATCTCCAACCTCCTTGTTCTTCGCAGCTGCCACCCCCTCCCTCACCGCCGCTACATCTCCAGAACCTCGCCAAAACCCACTTCATCTCTCCCAATAAATCTGTTTTTTCCATGGCTTCCAGACTCCAATGTCTTGTGGGTCAAATATTTCGTGTTGCTGGAGAGGGCTTTTGGAGGGTCATGGTGAGGGTTTTGGTGTCCCGAGCAAAGGCGTCGGAGATCCAGAAGTAGGCGAAGGTGTTGGGCCGGAAAGCCAACGCCATCATGCTCGCCATGTTTTCCGACGATGCCATTAAAGCAGCTCAAGGAACTCAAAATTTTTAATTTTAATTTTATTTTTCTGATTCAATTTGAAAATTTGGGAAATTGGGTGGTTGTAAAATCAATTGGATTTGGGGAAGTGGGATTTCCGTACGGGATGAGAGGGGAGATGTTGTTCTTGGTAGCTGTCGAGAGTCTGTGACGTCGACAAGACGAAACGGAAGAAGGTGGTGTTGTTGATTTGGATGTTGCTGGCAGAGGAGAGGAAGAGATCGAAGGGTGGTAGGAGGAGGTGAGGTGGTTCTTGGGGTTTTTTTGGAGAAGACACCAGAACCAGTTGCAATCGGAGGAGCTCTGGGATCCAGAAGATCGGCGGCGAAGGGGTTGTAGTTTTGGTTAGCACCCTGTGGCTCTCCACTGCTGTTAAATCAGGTAGATAGGGGTCGGAGGTTCGAGCTCATGAAGGCCGTTGAAGAGAAGAGGAGGGTTGGGTGGGTGGGTGGATGGGTGGAGTCGAAGATGGAGGGGGAATGGTGGATGTATGACGAGTCGAAGAGGAGAGGAGATGAGGGTTTGGTGGGTTGGTGCAGAGGAGAGAATGGAGGGATAGAGGAGGAAGGGAAGTTCGAGGGAGGTAGAAGATGACCAAAAAAAAAAAAAAAAATTCAATTTTTAATTTTCACATGAACCCTTAATAACACGTGACGTTTGTCCATATAGGTGCGACCTTATCAGTAAACTGGAGACTTAACAATCAGACTAACGGATGTATAAAACTGTTTCAAAATTAAGCCTTAAAGTATGATCTGGGATAAAAAAAAATTTCATGTATCAAATATTAAAAACCACAAAACTTGAAAATAATAAACTAAAATTTACCATTTTAAAAAATACCACAATGAGCAAGCTGTAAATTCAAGCATTATAAGTTTAAATTTTGTACCAACCCCTATTAATTTTAATAATATATAAATATTAGTTTAACTGTCATTCAAATCAATAAATAACCTAGTTGTTGTTCAGGTAAGATGTCGGCAAACGCATTCTTAAATATTCTAAAAGAGCATACCCTTTAATCTTATTAAAATTAAATTATCAACTCCATGACCGGATCCAGAGTTCAAGTCTTATTATATTGAAAGTAATTTACAACTGGAAGCCTCTCGGGAACACTCCTAGTTGAATAGCTTAAGTTATCTTAGTAAAACCCTAGCGGACATGATACTCCAAAATTAGATTGCCATACTTTTACTTAGTACTTTGGATCTTTAATATTAGTCACAAACTCATCTAACTCACGTTTAATAAACTTAGTTAAGAACCAACTCCTCGAAGGTATTGCAAAAGTAGCAGTCGGATGTTTAAGATACTATTTGGTTCTAGACTCCGTCTTATAATTTCTATCTGCCAACACACCGCATGTGGATGTAAATTTCTACTGTCACTTTCTTTGATGAAAATGCATTTGCAAAATAATAACACCTTTGATTATGACCAAAAGCCTCCCATGCCCACGATGAATTGGGGGGAGGGGGAAAAGGGCTTTGGCCGAAGAATCTCCAATGCCAAAGTTAGAATTCTAAAAAGAATGTATTTAGGAGTTTGTCGGTAGCATATAACTTAGCATTTTAATGAAATAAGTGGTGTATTTATAGGAAGGTGGCTGGCCCTTTGGGTGGAGAATGGTCGGACATATATGGTGGTATCAGGTGAATTATTGCAAGATATTATGTGAATCTTGCAATTATCATGGTAATTATTCCCTAATTAAACAGGAAGTTTTGGAGATTACCTTATTGAATAAAATCAACAAGGGAATGATAAGGGGAATTTGAATAAATTCCATAAAAATCACCCTTGGCTCTTCCTTGATGAGCCGTTATTATTCATTAAATGCACGTGGAAAATCCTTCTTGTTCAAAATTCTACGTGTCGCTCGAAAATTTTTGAGATTATTTTTTTATTCACCCCGCACATATATATATGTCCATATTAGTAGTGTTGAGACTGAATTTCATATCAGAGTGAGTTCCTCTTCATGTGCTTATAAGACTAAGCGTCATCGACGGTGTAAAACTATAACCTTTAATTGATTGTTCTTAAGAGCTTTACTAATTAGGGTTATGGAACAGGTCCGATCAAGAAGAGCATGGTGGACAAACCATAAAAACAAAAATAAAGTAAGATTGGTTAGAAAGTATAGGGCAAAACTTAATCAAGTGGTGCAAAAAGAACTTTAGTGGTTGACCTCGTGCTTAGTTCAGCAATGAATGTGCTTAACACAAATAAAGTTTTTTTTTTTTTTTTTTTTTTGAACAAGCGGTATTATCTACACTAAAGAAGATAAATGTGTGCTTAATCTTATAATGAAGTAACAATAATGTGATTTAAATTCGTCCTTAACGAGAATCGAATCTAAGACCTTTCACTTAAACATAAAGTTATCAACAAAAAAATTAAAAACTAAGAAAAACCCTAATTCTTTTGGCTTCACCGACTTTTATATATTTTTTCTTTTTTCCATCACAAACAGACCAAGAGCACACCCACAATCACATGAGTGTGGAGTGTCGCACACTGGATTCCAACACCTGCCAATTACAATTAGTTGTTTTGTGCGGTAGCTTCTTCTCTGCCTTCCGAGTTCCGACCACTCCCTTAATAACAACAACAATGATATTATTGTTAATAAATGCATGATTATATTAATAACTTGTAACTTTCATTATTTATTGTTGAATTAATTGGTAAAAACATTAATAAATGGTATCCCAGCAAGCTCTCATGCCGTACACATGACCCACATACTCAATCATCAGTTTTGTGGGCCACCCTCTTGTTTAGGTAATTTCCTCACCAATTAGCCTCAAAGAGTCGAGAGAAGCTTACACAAAATTGGGTCATTTTTAGTCAAAGGCTATAGGCCACTTTTAATCTAAATTTGTGGAAAATCCTGTTCCAGCCAGTGACGAAAATGAATCTGATAAAAAGAATTAGGGACCCCAACAAGTGCATTCAAACTAAGATGGAAAGATGTAGGCCTACATGGTTGGAGATGGAAAAATTCAGCCTTGTAGTATTCTTTATCCTTCTATAACTGGAGATGGCCTCACAATCATTACGACATTTTGGGGCGGCTAATGCATTGTAATGTGAATAAATACTTATACATAACAATGCATTATTAAATTCAAACGCCACGTAACAATGAATTATAAAACAGTTACATAATAATACGTTATTAAATCAAAAGCTACTTAACGATAAACTAATTCTACGTAAATATTCTTAAAAAAGAAACGACAAGTCTCAATTGTCCTCGTTGCCAACCCGTACTATTATTTATTTATTTATTTTTGTGTGGGTGTGCTAAGCAAATGGGTTTGTGTGCTTATTTGATCGAGGGCCATTTAATTTGGTGAAGTTTTGTGTCTAAAAAGGTGATGGGGCTTGATGTGTGCAGGTAGGTGAGATGGGTCAATCACAAGGGGTCGTTTAATGCAATGGACGGTTGAGATTGATTGATGTGTCACTCCTCGTCCTTCTGTAAGGTCCCTATCAATTTTTTTTTCTTGTTTTTATTTTTTGGGGTCTTCACTTTTTCTCTGGGGACAAGGATGGTTGATGGAAAAAGGAAAAATAAAGGCAAACTTAGAACGAATGATATAATCAAAAAGCAAAGGTTATCAAAATAAAAGCAAACTTAGAACGAATGACACAATCAAAAAGCAAGGGTTATCATTGTTTCGTTCTTTGGCTGTCACTATTCCCACCATATGCTGCATTGTCTTGTGGATAACCCAATGTACGCAAACTCGATCATCCTTTATCGTTTGTACTAGACGAAAAGCGTCTATACATGAAACTGGTTTATCCTGAGCAATCTGATCCCAACTGACCGTCATATATTATCGTGATCTATCAGAATGACAACTAATAAAACCAAGAAACCAATTGCCTTTTGTATGAACCCTAAAATAAGTGAGAGTTCAGCTTCAAATGCCTTGACACGAAAGTAAAACAAGCTTTGCTTGGCATCACTATCACTTTTTCAACAATTGAAGTTTACCGTTTAATTTCTTAAAGCTAACGATTCAATTTTCACTGTTTATTTTCTAAACTACTAAGTATTTCCAGAAGAAAAATTGAAGTTTACCAATCACTTGTTCAATTGCAGAGTCAGATTCCAACTTCGCTTTTACCATCTTGCTAGATGGAAACCAACAAAGAAGGCACATAGATTTTTTTTTTTGTTTTTTTTTTTTTTTTCCTTTGTTCTTTTAATTATGAGATAGAGAAATTAGAGAGGAGTTGGTGAGTAATTCGAGTTGGCTTGCTTTGTAACGTAATCACTGGGGTGTGACAAGTCATCAGATAGAGGCCCCTACTCTTAACTATATACAGTTCAGCGCAAAACTTATTCCTCAGGCAAATTGGAGCAACGAGCAAGTAAAAGTTTCTTGTACGGCAATTTACGGATTAGGGGTTTTTCCTTTGCACCTGAGATCTCAGGACCAGGTTCCCGACGGACGGTAGCCGCCTGATATCACTCGATCTGGGGGTGGGGTTTTAGCCGGAAACTCCCACACCGCGGCGAGTTCCATCGATACACAAATCATTAAGGATTGCGCTGTCAATTGATCATTACACATTCAAGGAAAAAAGAATAGGCAAGACATGGTCCATGCATATTTTGGCATTTATTAACCAGATGATCCACATTTGCTAACAATAACAATAATAAATTCAACAGTCAGGTGCTACAACAACACATCCGAAAGAAACTTAACACTTCGAAACTGTGAGAGAGAGAGAGAGAGAGAGAGAGAGAGAGAGAGAGAGAGGGGCAAGAGAGAGAATGAGATAAGATTGTATCAGTCTACAGCTTAAAAACTAAACTACCGTCTGAATCAAAATAAACAGACTAAGCTCTCTCTCTATCCTTTACTTCTCTACCGGCGGGGCACCGGAGAGGAGCACGAAAATTCACTCTTTCCAGTCGTCCGCTTCGAGACCTATCTCCATTTCCTCAACAAAAGATAAACAATATTGTTCATCTGAAGATGGATAGCTTGTCAGTCTCTAATCAGCTTGAAAACCTCCCTTCGCCCCTCCGGCAGCCTTTGTTTATGATCAAATGAATATGGAAGCAAAAACAAACATGAAATTTAGAAGCGTACCAATACAACATTTGGGTAATCCAATACCCAGCAGAGCCATTGATCCTCAGCATCAGCACCCCTCCTCCGAGTTCTCTGGAAGAACCAAAGCAGAGATGAAATGCGGTCGAAAGTGCTTTGAATGCCATTGCAATTGTGGCACCTGATCGTCATTGCAACAGCCCCAGGCCAGGACTGTAAGTTGTTTACTCATCTTCGTTCAGGAGCCACTGCAGGAACCATCTCGCGGGTTATATAAAAGTCACCCGCATAACATTTTTCCACCAACAAACATCCGTTTAACTTGCGCAGAAGCCACCACAGTAGGAGATGAAACAGCTTCAAGCTAAATGCCAGGTCTCAGGATATCAACAAATTGCGGAATATCAGCCCTGGGACCCTCAAGGGATCGATACATGTATAGTATATCAAAATTATCACCCATTTCCCCCTCTTCTTCACTCTTCATCACTTCAACCACGAGACGAGGCAGTTCTCGAGCAATCGCCCAACAACCTTGACGTGTTAACGAACACGAAGACATCCAAAGAAATCTCATATTGTAATAGTGATGTAAACCAGAACGCAATGCTGTATCCCCAAATGGGCTGTCCCTTATTTCAAGCTTTTGCAAGTTAGGGCAGCCCTCAAGCACGTATTTCAGCCCTGAGTCACTATCGCCAGCAAAGGCAACTGAAAGAGTTCGAACCAACTTTCCATATTGTCCAATGTAGCTGAATGCTCGATCGGTCAATAAACCAGACACAGCAAGGCGGGTAAGCTTCTTACAGTTCATAACTATTGCTCCGAAACCTTCATCCATAGATTCACCAGTAACATGGTCAGGCCGGCGGCGCCCCATTATACAAAGACGAAACACCACAAGTTCTGAGCAATTCTTTGACATTGCTATTACAGCTGCATTTGTCATTCGCTGACAGAAATACAAAATAGACCGCAGTTTTCTACAACCCTCAGAAATTGCTTCGAGACCCACCTCAGAAACAGGGCCTTCTGCATCCTCCTGAGCATTAACAGGAAAAACCCGAAGCTCACGCAGTTCCTTGCAAGTTGCAGCCACTGCCTTAAGTCCTTCATCACATATTGAATCGAGTACCTGCACAAAGAAATCAATATTAAAATTCAAAAGTCAATGTCTCCAGAGTGTTTACATATTATTACACAGAATGCATACCCAGAAAGACTGGAGTTTGTGGCATTGGGATATGACTGGTTTAAGTTGTTCCGCTGTGATGTTTGCATAGCTGAAGTTCAGAGCGGTGAGATTACTACAGACAGGGTAAATTACAGGAATGTGATCCAGCAAGATCTCCCGGAACCCAGATAGACAAACTAACGATTTGCAAGCAGCAAAAGCAGAAACATAATCCAGTTCTTGATCACCCTGATCCAGTTCTTGATCACCTTGAGCCATGCCCTCTGCTAAATTGAATGAGCCCGTTCCTAAGTGTGTCAGTTGAGGAGCTCGAACCATCAGGCGGTAAAGCTGCCCAATTGAAACATACCGGTTCAACCTCAGTTTCTTCAGAGAAGGTGACCTAGCCACTAGATTCTCCAATGCCTCAAAATTTACACGGCATTCCACACAATCAAACATCAGAGATTCGAGACAAGTTTGACTCTCCGGAAAACAAGATATCCAATCTACATCATCGTCCATAACCTCGGTGTCAGTCAGATCGAGCACTCTAAGCTGTCTGCAAAACACACACACACACACACATTAACCTCACTATTCGATTCCCCACTGCAATTTCACATTATTCCACTTCATTGATTCAAATACTTCATATGGAACAACGACAAAGCATAGTATCCAAACAAACCCCGAAACCCGAAATAGATCTAAAAGCATTAATCAGATCCAAACAATAACACCCATTAAAGCTTCAACCTTTCTACTTTAAAACCCATATCACGGATCTAACCCACCATTGTTTAAACTAATCAAAACTTAATTAAAATATTGATCTGAAACTAATTAAGAAATTAGCAAAGTACCTGCACTTGCTAGCGAGGACGGCGAGCCCACTAGTCCCGAACCCATCGCAGCAAACTAGGACCAGCTCCTTGAACCCAGCAAACGACTCAGCCAAGAGGGCAAGATCGTCATCCGTCACGGACATCCGCTTCAGGCAGAGCTTCTCGAGCCAAGGGTACGCCTTGGCCATGGAGGACACCCACGGTGCCAAGTGGGCCCCCCAATTGGCCGGCATGAGGTTGAAATCGGCGAACCGGGGCTTGCCCTTGATGGTCACGGCCCGGACCCGGGTGAACCGGGCCATGGCCCGGCGAGGAGAGACAGCGTAGCAGTTGCCGATGAAGAGCTCGGATCGGGTGAGGGCCTCTGCGCGGTACCAGGATTTGCAGACCAATGAGGCGCTACTGCGGTCGCGGCGGGAGGTGAGAAAGCAGAGGACGTTTTCCAGAACGTTCTCGAGGACTTGGTCCGGGTAGGGGACGGTATACTCGACAGAGGTACCTACGCCGGAGCCGGATACTCCGGAGCAGTTGCGGGACTTGCTGGAGGGGATTGGACCGTCGATGAGATCCAAGGGGGGAGATCGGTCATCATCCTCGGACATTTGGGATGAGGAGGATGAAGGTATTGATGGGTCCTCACTCATAAAGCCCTTCCTTCTCACTTCTCTCTCCTCTCTCTCCTCTCTCTCCTCTCTCTCCCTCTTAACAGACTCTGAAACTGGGATGGTGATCCGAGTTTTGGGTTTTTGATCAGATAAAAATATCAAAAATCGAATCTTTTTCTTCCTCTTTTTGGTGAACTTTTTAATTCAGATCATGTTATGGGCTCTCATGAGGGAGTGAATTGGATTTGGGGGTTCTGATTTGATAAGAGAGAGAGAGAGAGAGAGAGAGAGAGAGGAGGGAGGTGGGTGATATGCAGAAATGGAGACGGTGGGTTGGGATTGGTTTAATTGGTCACAGGCGAGAGTGAACAGTAGGGTTCTGCTGTCTGTGTCTCAGTGTCTATCTGAGCTTTGGGATTCTCCATGCTCTCTCTCTCTCCATCTCTATGTCTATCTCTCTCTTCTTTTCTCTCTCTCTCTCTTAGTTTTATCTGTAATATCCTTCCCATCCAATGGCTCTCCATACTTCTCCATTATTTGGGGGTTTTCCCTTTACAAACCCTTGTCTTTTTTCTCTCTTTTTCTTCTAATATTTTATATTTTATAATGTTATTTGAGGATATAAAATCGTTTTCAATTATTTAAAAATACTTTTCAAATAAGTTTTTAACTAGTATTGAACTTGCTAATTCTCTTAGAGTTCGTTTAAAATACTTTTAAAATAATTAAAAGTATTTTTAAAGGGATTGCTTTTTGAAATAAATCATTAGTAAAAATGTAAATGAATATTGAAAAATCACTTGAAGTGTTCCTTGCAAAAAAAACATTAATTACTTTAAGTGGTTTTGGAATTCAAAAACACATTAACCAAAAAGCATCAATTACTTTAAGTTCTTTTGAAATCAATCATTAGTAGACATGCAAGTGAATCATGGAAAAACACTTGAAGTGTTTCCTGCAAAAGTATCAGTCACTTTAAGTACTTTTGGATTCCAAAATTATTTCACCAAAAAGCATCAGTTACTTTAAGTGTTTTTAAAACCAATTATTAGTAGAAATATAAGTTGATCCTGTAAAAGTACTTGCAATGTTTCCTACAAAAAGCATAAGTTACTTTAAATGTTTTTGGAATCTAAAAACACATTCACCAAAAAGCAGCATTTACTTTAAGTGCTTTTGGAATCAATCATTAGTAGAAATACAAGTGAATCCTGAAACAGTATTTTAAGTGCTCATGGAATCCAAAAACATTTTCATAAATTCAATCATTTTAAAAATATTTTCAAATAAACTTTTAAGTAAGAAGAAGAAGAAAAAGAAGAAGAAAGGTGAAAAAAAAAACCCTATGATTTTTGTTGTGACGTTGATATAAAGCAAGTACAAATTTCTCATTGGGCCATCTTGACAATGGCCGCGTATTAGTACAAGAGGAGCGTGTTTGAAGATCCATGTTTTCGATTTGGGGTTGAAATGTAAATGTCAATGGTCGTACGTATTATCCTTATCAACACACAACTTTAAGCCCTTGCAATTTGCATGTTGATAATTATCTAATTACCCTTACTATTAATACTTGACAAAAAGGAAAAAACAAAGTCGTGTCGTTTTACATTTAATCGATGAAACGATAAAGTCATTGCATAAATCTTGTTCTATCTTTTTTTTTGTTTTTTTGGTAAAAAATTGAGAGGAAGCATGTGATTTTAGCAGCCAAATCTGACTTCCCGGCATGATTTCTTAGTTAAGATGAATGGATCGTACCAAGAAAATTTGAACATTTAGTTGTTAGTTATATTTGTATTCTAAAAAGGAAGTTCAAAAGTTCAAACCTTTTCTTCACTAAAGTCCGTTTGGTTTGTAGATTTGAGACCAGTGATAGGATATAAATCATTGTTGGGATTATGAAACTAGTGATACGATTATTGAGATCTGTCACCATGTGAAGATGTGTCTATCATACTTAAAAATCTTTCCGTCATAAGCAGCTATTTATTCTAACTTGCAAATGCATATATAGTAAAACATCTCTATAGTCACACTCTATAAGGAAATAACCTCCTCATAGTCATAAAAATTTCTGGTCTCAATTTGGGCCAGTTATAATGATTTTGTTGCTCGGAATAATTATTTTAAAAAATTACCCAAAACTCATGGGTTTGAGTTAGAGTTGTTAAAAATTGCAGAAAATGAAACCAGTCTTGAAACGCATATTTTCCTTCTCAAAATCAAACAATCTACCCACTCGAATCACACTAATCAAACTAAAAGCTCAAACTGGTTATAAAAAAGTATGAGTGGTGGGGATTGGGAGGTTGGAGGCGTCGTATATCCCATGGGCTAGTTGGTCGTGGATGGGGAGAGGAGGAACATGGAGTCGTGATAAGGAGGTTGGGTGGTGGTGCTTGGTGGTGGGCTTTATTGCTTTAAAATAAAAGCATTAAAGTCTCTTAGTACTACGGTTTGATGATATTTCTCTTCGCTTAGAAGTGAGAGGTCTTAGATTCGAATCTTGTAAATGGCGAATTTGATACCAAATTAGGTTGCCCATTGTGTGGTTTAGCCGAACTCTCTCATCCCCTTAGTGTAAAATATATCGTTGTATTAAAAAAAAAATTAAGATTGGTTTAGTGTGTAGACTAGAGGTAAACAAATGCATTTAAACTAAAATTGTCTAAAATACCCTTAGATTTAAAGTTCTTTAACGGAATATGTGCAATGAGACTAAAACAGTTGAAAATCTTAGTTTCAGGAGGTAAAGTGACACAAAACCAATGTTAGGAGAAAACTGAAACAAAATGGCAGTTTCAGGGAGCATCAATTAATAAGCCTTTTTTTAAAGGGTAGTGCTATTTACACACATTTTTTACTTCTCACAAACTCTTGTTAACTTTTATTTATTAATCTTCTTTAATTTATTTTATCCGACGATCAAAAATTAAAAGAGTAGTAAGAGGTAAAAATGGTGTCATAAAGGGGAAAAAAATCCGGTGACTCTTGGAGCCTTGGAGGTGATTATTGCACTCATTTCCTTAAAGGCAATACAAGAGCGTCATCAATAGTTAGCTAGACAGTATACATTTCTCATGTGATCATTGAAGAAATGTCACAAGCTATATCACTATTCTAATCAGCACTAAGACCATTTCCAATCCTTGATGATAAAGTTTCAAAATTTAAGCCAGAAAATTTTAGGCCATAATCCAGAAACTGTTTTTCTCCTTCAACCCTTATGGCTTAAAATTTTAGCCCGATATTATTAAACAATGATTTTAGCCTAACCTTATTTTTTCGGTAACTTTTTTGAAAATAAAATTTATGTAAATTATCCTAATTTATTATTATGAACATTATAATATAAAAATATTTAAATAATGATAAGTAATTAAAATCATGTAAATACACAGGTATTTATAAAGTTTTAAGTTAAGTTTGATTTAAATAATTTCTTAAATAATTTTAGACGTTAGATTTAATTTTGGACCGTCAAATCTATTTTTTACCATTATATTTGATCTCATTTGATCATAGTCGTTAGATTATAAGTAAAAAAACAAAAAAAAAAGTTTGAAATATGACAGTTTGATGTGTCCAAAATAATTTAAGCCAAATTAAAGTCATGGCGGAAATCTAGTCTAAAGATATATTTTATCCTCAGGGCTTATTTTAGCCCATGATTAGAGATGGTTTAGGAATTTTTAAAGCTTATTAAGTTTTATTCTATGAGTCGAGGATGGCCTAAAAGAAACAAAAAACAATTTAATACCGTAAATGGAGTTCGTTGAAACAACCAGCTGAATTTGATTTCACAAGGCTCCCAATTCCATGTGAGTAGGGGACCCTGCTTAAAGTGCTGTTTTTCGTACATTTATTCATTAAGTTACAAGTGTTCGTATTTTGGGACATCTGTATAAAATTAAAAAGGACCACATCATTCTTGGATCTATAAATTCATTGAATTTTGTGCCAAAAATTACAATGAAGGATCGCGAAGCTTTAGCTAACTGCAAAACACGAAACAGGCAAACCACTAAACAGCCCATGTGTAGATAAAGCACTGCAGCCGCTGCTTTTGGTAAACATGGTGAATCCAGAACTATTAACATGTTTTTTCAAATTTTTCAATGAGGTATTTGATCAAGCACTTAATGTGCGGAATGTTGACATTTGCCGAGTGCGGTTGAGAATCTCTGGTGAGTTCTATTGATACAATTGCTAAATAACGTTGAGACTTCATACAAAATGGTGTCGTCGCATCTTGTTAAGAATGTTGATGCAGCTTGCTGAGATCTGACAAGTATATCATCGAACACGTAATAATAAGCACAATGAATCTAGCGTCAAACATTCAGAAGATCCCAAAAAAATTTCACATGCGCTTTTTACAAGTAGGTCTCGGAACGACTCCGGTACCTCGTAATTCTTTTTGATAAGTAAATCTGCTAGCTTACATAACAAAATCATTATTTTTACTTTCTATCTTTTGTCCTGATTAGGAACAGAAACACATTATTTTCTGACATGCACGGTCTAGTTCCAACTCTAAATCATCAATAGTGTACATCTGCAAAATTATATGCTTATGTACTTGAAATATGAATTGCTCACTCGTAATTCCAACGATTCCATTGTACAACTGGGATTCAGGTAAGGATTTTGGGAATGAAATTGAGTAACGATAATCAAATATTTTCACACCAAACCATATCCTTAATTATTATTTTTGGTAATACTGATTTCGATTTTGGTTCTTGAAAGTTCATATACATTTCAACATGAATTAACTTCATACTCATTTTAATGGAACACCTTTAATTTCGGTTTCATTTCCAATCATTCTCATTCTGATTATGGATATGTAAACGTTCCATCGAGGTTATGTATATAAGTAATTATAGACAAACTTCTAATTACGTATATGTAGGCAATATAACTTGATACATAAACTGTAATTTGGTTGAAACCATGCACCGATGTAAAAGTCTACGAACAAGTAGAAATTATAATGGCACAAAGTGGCATCATAGGTTTTATCTCTTGGTAAATCTTCTGGGAGGAGATCTTATCCACTAGCAGGTTTCCTTTTTCCCAAAAACCTCATTTTTTTTGTTTTCTGGTGTGGATATGGCAGACAAGCTTCTGTATATATATAGTTGTTTCAATAGGATTATTATTATTATTATTTTCACCCAACCAAAGAAGAATCCTACACCAAAAGAGGGGCGCTTCCAATTAATCTGGGTGCAGTGAGATTAAACACGAACTCTCGATCACTAAGACAATTAACTACTGGCTAGCTATTTCAATGAGATTACTCGCACGCGAGTATTTTTTCTGTATACCATACAGTTCTAAAAACATTACAGTCGTCGCTGCTTCTGAATACTGATTATTGCACTGGACAAAAGTCAGAAAACCAATAAACGAAACCCTAATCTCTGAGAATTATTGAAGCAGCAATTTTATATTTTATTTTTTGAAAATTGAGGTTGTAATAAGACAGCTAATTTTTCTAGTGCTCATCTGCAAACTGGGAAGCATCGTCAAAAGTAGAAGCGAGCTTTTTCTCTTGTAGGTTTAACTTTTACTGATATGTGATTACTTGGATTTACATGGAGCTAGAAGTCATGCTAATCGGACGATCAGCTTTTGGATGAGTAGGCTTTTAGGTGTGCATGGCTACGAAAATGACAGAAGCTGAGCTATACATGTGTATGAGTCTGTGACGGTGAGGAGGAAAGAGATAGGTCTATGCATGCTGTACGTCCACTTCCGGATATCAGGAAGAAATGCTTCCATTGCTGTCTAGGTTTGGCCTGCATTTGTCCATCTCGATAAACAAAAAAAACCTTGATAGCTCTATTGGTATTTGATATTCTCAATGTTGGAAGAGTTATCAAGTTTGAAGTTCCTCCTTCATAATTTAATTTAAGTACATTTCTCTAAAGTGAGGTCAAGTTTGTTTTCGATGACATATCGACCGTGTATTATTATAAGCAATTAGAATTTTTAAAGTTTTTAAATCAACAAAATCGACAACATATTCATTTAAAAAAAAAATAATAGAAAGGGGAGGGTGGCGTTAAGGGTTTCGGTGGACTTGAAAATCAATGGGGTGAGGCGTGTATGGTTTTTCTATGTCTAGGTCGTACGATTGACGTGATCTGATTTTCTGACACTAAAATTTCTCCAAATTGAGATTGTCTCAACAAAAGGCTAAAAGCGTTTTCAATCAACATTACTGCTGGTCGTGGCAAAAAAGTTGATGCTCAAGACTCAAGGAGTAAAACCATAAGCATGGAAGATCATTTGGGCCTTGAGATATAAAGCCCAAGATCTATTGACTATTTGACCACACAGATGGACTGTCAAAATTCCGTCTTATGACAGACACTGTCCAAATCCAAGATCCCAAATAAAACGCTCCTCCCCTCAAAACCAAACCAAATCTGGTCGCACCAGTTGTCTTCTCGCAGACGAACAAGCCGTTTGAATTCCCAAACAAGACAAAGATTCCATTTTCCCAATCACTACAATATGAGCGACCACAAGGCGGCAGCTGCACCACCTGCACCTGATCACCCACCACCACCATCTCACTCCCAAGACTACGCTCCATACCCTAAGCTTGACCTCAATGACGTCGCTCCGCCTCCCCACTCCGAAACTTGGACCTCCGTCTCCATCGCCTCTGAACCGCCGAAATCGGAGGGTCCGCCGGTGCAGCCGCCTGTGTCTCCACCGGTGTCCGATCCGGTGGTTCACGCCGAGGCTCGCGGTCCGATCCACGGCGACGCCGCCACCTCCATGCCGGCGGAGTCCAATCCCTACGTTGCCACTCCTGCGCCGCCTCCCCCCTCCTCCGTCAAGAGTGAGTAACCAACCAACACTTGTGTGTTCGATTCTTTGATATGTTAGGGTTTTTGTTGAAGAAATGATGAATTTGTGAGTGTTACTGTGGCGGTTGGAAAATGACGATTGGTTTGTGTCGTATTGTATCGTTTGTTGTTGGTTATTAGAATCGATGGATTCAGTGAAAGATGCGCTTGGAAAATGGGGAAAGAAGGCTGCGGAGGCCACCAAGAAGGCTGAAGATCTTGCTGGCAACATGTGGCAACACTGTAAGTATTCAACTCCTGTTTAATTAACTGGTTATTTTGAGTGTTGTGTGTTTAATGTGAATTTGCAATGATAATTGTTTTGTGCATGCACTAGAATCTGCATTAGCCAATGTGATTGATTGCCACGACCGGAGGTTATGTCTAGGCTGTTAAATTGCGGTCTTTGTGTTTTTATGAAACGATTAAGCAATTGCAAACATTCTAAGCGTAGCACTCTGGTTTGTGCATAGAAGAGGGAATGGTGTCAATATTGCATGTTGGGAATAGGGAATCAGGAATGGTGTTTTAAGTTGAGTGGATGTTAGAGTTAGGAATTTGCCTCTAGATTACGTTTTCACTGACTTCTTGATTGCTACATTATCATCATGAGTCTTCATTTTTGTGACTCTTCTTAATCGGTCATTTAGTTCTAATTGCAGTGGTTATAGTAGGAACCAAGGTTTTCTAAAAGATGCTAGGCGCTAGTTGGGCGGCGGACTGGGGCCTAGCGGCTAGGCAGATTTAAGTAAACTTATTATATATCGTATAAATAAGTGCTTATTTATACTTAAAAAATAGATAATTGTATTTGGATACATAAATTGAAAAATAGAATGACATATAGATTAGAAAGCATTAGAACAAATTGAAAACATGGAAACCAGAATATAATGTGGGTTCATCCAAGTATTCAACAAGTCTCTTACAATTTATTAAAAAAAATAAAATGCAAAATGGAAGTTATCTATTTTCTGTTTTAAGTAAGAGTTGCGACATAAGTGGGTGCCTAATCGGGCGCCTAAGTAGGTCCAGGCCCCTTTTCTTAATTTTCAAATGCCTACGGATTAATCGGGACGGTTGCTAGGCGGGGGATTTTTAGAACAGTGGCAGGAACCATGAATCTCTTTTGATTTATGGGTTTCATAGTAGTTTTACTACTGTTTTTTTAGTGAGAAATAATGGATGTACTGCTGTTTCCCTGAACTAGTGAAGACAGGACCAAGTTTTGCTGATGCTGCTGTGACAAGAATTGCTCAGAGCACTAAAGTACTGGCAGAAGGTGGTTATGAGAAGATCTTTCGACAAAATTTTGAGACTGTCCCAGAGGAGCAACTTCGAAAGACATTTGCTTGCTACTTATCTACATCTGCTGGTCCAGTAATGGGAACTCTATTTTTGTCATCAGCAAAGCTTGCATTTTGCAGTGACGATCCTCTTTCATACAATGTAGGTGACCGCACTGAATGGAGCTATTACAAGGTATAGTGGATTACTTTTGTTTGCTCATTGCTATTGCACCGATTGTCACCTTTTTGGAGTTACGACTTAGGAGCCATTTATGCTTCCCAATGGTGATAGTGCAGCTTGAATTCCTCTCAAATTTTCCCCTTGCATAATACATTATTAGTTATTTATAATAGGGAACTATTATTGGCTCGCCAAAATTCTCATTTTGTACTCCTAACAAGTGTATACTTCCTTCTAAATATAGAAAGTTTGGAGTGCAAAATGAGAATTTTGAAGTGCCAATAACAATTCCCTTAAAATATAGAGGAAGTTACCTAACTTCTTGAGGTTAGTGATATTAAAGAAACTTCCACTCTGTTGGAGAAGTTATACCAATCTTGTGTTTTGGTAGGTCTAAAATAAATTTTACCACTGAGGTAGGTTATAATTGAAAATAGAGATTTCACTTCCCTGTTGAATTTAATCTGAAAGATATAGAGGTGATGATAAACATACAAGTGATCAGCTTTTTCCATAAATCCCTAAGGGAGATTAATTTAATTTCAAAGTAAGAAGGAGGTTTCTGTAATTCCACCTAACCTCAGGGAGAGGTACATGTAATCTATAGGTTTCTTGTTATGTTTTAGTGGTAATTGCCTCCAATTTTGTATTCCAGTTAGGAGCTAATTGAGTCAAAAGAAGGAAAAAATAAACAAAGCACTTTTTAGGTTTTGAATTTTGTGGTGATTTGGTTCAATCAATGACATCACCTTCTGATTCAATGGTGTATGGCGATGTGCCAGAAATGATTTCAAGTTGAGTGACTCGGTATTTCTTCTGTTTACATTAAGTTCCAAGAGGTGTCATTACATTTCAAGCAGTGTCGACCACGTGTTACACACAGGTAGGTAGTGTCACATACACATTAACATAGCCAGGCCATTCCCCCAACCATATTTTAGCTTAGTGCTTGTGTAACTCTGACCTTGTGAACAATATATCCCGTTGTTAATATTTTACCCCAAACCTATAGGTGTCAATACAATTCAGTTGTTGGTTTTACCTGAAAAGGAAATCATTGTTGGTTTTACCTGAAAAGGAAATCATGTTTCATGAAGTAATAAGGATCTAACACAACCCTTGACCATGACAATCAAAATCCGGGGTTAGGTAACTCAACCTTGTGTTGCTTTGTATGAACAGTTATTAAAAGAAACATGCTATTTGTATGATGTCACTTTACGTTAATTTGTCATTTTCAGTTCCGACTCGAATCACTTATTGTCAGGTGTAGCTATTGTTTGATGGTTTTGGTGTGGTGCTGGACTTTAATGGGTCAATCTCGGTGAGGCCTACGAATTTTTTAACTAGATTTTATAGGAACTCTAACATTAGTTTAGGAGTATGATATGTTGGATGATCTTTCTTTTTTATTACATTGAAAACTTAGTCGTGAGATACCTAGTTATAACTTATATGTTGAGACTTGAGTGCAGAATTTTTTTGAGGTGGGAAGGCTGCTGCTCGAGAATGATGTACTAATGAAAGGCAGTAGGAATACAACTAAAAGGATCCTTCCTTTTTAGGTTAAACTCGAGTGATATTAGTAGGTGGAAAGGCTTAAAGCGTTTGGTGATTGAATTCTTCTTTTAGGTTGAACAGAGGATGAAAGGATTTATATTAATTGAAATTTGAAATTATTGGCCAAGCAAGTTAATGGGTGAATAGAACATCTTGAAAATCATTTACTGGGATTTGGGAACGATCCTATATTTTAATTTCTTCCCTTTAGTTGTCTAATTGCTGCTGAACCTGTGCTTGTTTTGGATAACAATCAAAATCTGGTTATTGTCATTGTTATTGTAGATGGTGCACTATGACAATCCTTGTAAGAGAGAGGATCTGTTTTTTTCAACACAAATCTTTTTCCAAATATGCTTTTAACAAGCCAGCTATTTCTTTGACACATTTTTCAGCGTCAGTTCAACCTTGCATGTCCACGTCCCTACATTTCTGTCATCTACGTATCATTATAAAGCCAAACCGTACGTAAAATGCCATGCTTTCTTATTTAAGGGTTACAAGTAGTGAAATCAAAGCTTTATATGTTTTCATCATTTTAGAATGTTATTTGTTAGCTATAACATAATCTGGTATGATTTCCTGTGATATGTAGGTGATTATTCCGTTACATCAACTGAAGGCAGTCAATCCATCAACGAGCAAAGTGAAAGCAGCTGAAAAGTACATCCAGGTCGTCTCTGTTGACAACCATGAGTTTTGGTTCATGAGCTTTGTGCACTACGATAGTGCTGTGAAACATCTTCAAGAAGTAGTGCAGCCACACCCTCAGAGTCAGCCCCAGAGTGCATAAAGAGTGTAAGCCCAATTATTTGCCATGTCATGGAAGAGGCATAATGTTGGAAAAACATCTATAATGTGAATGTTGTATGTATTTTTGTTCTGTTCGTGGAATTGCTGTGCTATGTTTCTTGTCGGAACCCACAGATTACGGCTTTACTTTTCCTTTATAGCGATTAACGGAATTTGGGACGTTGGAGGTTTTAGTCTGAGTCTATATGTTGTAAATGACATTTGTGATTATCTACATGATATTTTCAGACTATTATTTGTTGAGAATTCGGTACGAATGAATGAAAACTTACATATTCTGAATGTAAGCAATTTTGTTTTCTATAGAACTACCAAATGAGGAAGATGACTGTAGCTTGGCATTAAATTGTAATGGCTCCCCTTTACCGCTCTTTACCAATTGTGATTAGCATGACGGTTACTATTTACTAATTATTTAATGGACGAGATTAATTAGAATAGGTTGCTATGATTACGTTGCTATGGTTGTTGCTCTCCATCCATTGTGAATAGTAACTGTCATGGATTTGGATTTGGGGCTAGAATCGACAGGGCGGTAGCCAAGGCTCCATCAACCATGGCTTGAAGAAATGTTAAATGTTGAAGAAGTGGGTGGAGGTGAATGTTGGATTGACTTTGCGATCTACTAGCCATGGCAAAAAATGATGAGTGAACTTGCTCTAAGACCTAGTCTGGACTGTGGTCCATGAGGTCCATTTTTTCGAAACTACATCATATATTGACCCAGGCCTCACCTGCACCTGCAAGGCATACACTTAGACTTGGGGCCAAGCCTTAGCCCATAGATTGGGCAGAGTTTTTTCTTAAAGATTGACCAATGTGCCTAGTAGGGCCCACCATTTGGTTAATCAGAGAACTTTCATTGTGAAAGAACACTGTTGTGTAACGTTTTCTGTTAATAATATAATATTATTTTTCTTTTTACATGATGTTATATAATTGGTATGGATTGCCACGGTGTCATTACACTTGAAGTAACGTCTTGTGTCAAAGGTATTCTCTAAGTGTAAGTTTCTTTTTACACAGTGTTATATCATTGGTAGGGATCGCCACGGTGTCACGTTTATAATTGAGAAACTTTTAAAGTGTTTTTGTCAAACGCTCATTTTAAACATTTCAAAAACACCACCAAACAATCTCTAATTTTTTTTTTTTAATTTCTCATTTTTGGCTGAAGATAGCTATGCTTCACCACAACATCATGAACCTGACATTACAAGTACATAGATCAGTAATACTAATAGGGAAAAGATAATCAGAAGGAAATAATTTCACTTCATAGACATTCTTCTAATTTTGTAAACGTTAAATTGAGCAACTAAAATAAAATTAACCGTTAAAATTAACAGGGAATATGCGTAGTGTAAAAAATGGCGTGCTGAAATCATTGCCCATGAGATAATGCATTTACACAACTGCATAAACTGCTCTGATTCTCTGAAGACTGAGGCATCGTGGAATTGTGTGGTTATGGAAGGAGCAACCACGTCCAAGGCGGCAGGAAAAAAAAAAAGCCCTGAGTTGACATTATTTAGAAAAATGAAAAGAAAAAGGAGAGAGTGATTGAGTGACTGAGTGAGTTGAGTGAGTGGGTCACTGATCTCTTCTAAGCACCGACAGTCACGGATTATGGATGCATGTTAAGTTGTCAGTCCAAATGAGGAAATAATAAGTTATTGGACAAATGGACACACTCTCTTTTTTAGTCTTTCAAATTTGAAGTCACTTGAAACACAAGCTACTTTCTTTCTTTTGTTTTGCCCTCAATTTAATCAAAACCAAATGCAATGCAAGCAAATATGGGCCACTCTACTTCCACTTTCCCTTCCCCAACAACTTACTCCACTTCTCTCTATCTCCGGCTTTATATGTCTTTCTTTTCTTCTGAGAAAAAAGATAATTAGGAGTAGTATGTGTGCATATGATCATTGATCACTTAACAATCAAATCACGATTGAGGCCCCTTGAAATGCACAAGAAAACACCAAGCTTGATATTTAAGTGGTTATGAGTATTTGTCTTTACGCTCAATGTTCTAAATCCGGTTCGTATCTTTTGGGAAGAAATGTGTATATAATATAGGTCTAATTCAATTTAGATTATGTGTATATACGATACATTTCATTGATCACTTAAATAAAAAACTATTTTTATTATGCTTTTAGAATAATCAACTATAAAATATACCAGTCAACTGTTTGATAAACTGTATTTTAAAAACGATGTGGGTATGAATAGCAGTGTAAAAGTATTTGATAAATTTTAATATAAAAAAAAACTATGTAAATGATAACAATGGACATATTGGTAGGGGTGGTGGCTACGATGGTGGTGGTGATGGTACTAATAATGGTGAGAGTGATAATAGGGGTTGTGGTGACACCTGCAGTGACAAACGATAGTGGTAAAAGTAATACCAAATGAGGCTTAAGTATGACCTATTACAGATATTAAGAAGTTACTTTATTGAAAATATGTCCATTTCTTACGATAAAAAAAGAAATTGTTTAAACTCATTTTTAACAGTAAATGCATGCAAAGTCTCCCAATCGAGCCTACATATATCAACAATCAGGAATCATAATGAATCGTTCGTGGATGCGCACTTTAGTTACTGGAACACTTTTCTTCTTTTACCACAAACAAAAACACATACAATGATGTTTCTCGTTTATATATAAGACCGATATAAACAAATATATATTAGCTGTAATGTCAGTCCCGTTTGGATTTTGTGATCAGATCCTTGGGTAGAGAGGCACACAGATGGAGAGCCCACCTGTTTAGAATAAAGCAGCAGCTGCAAGTAACACGAGCTCACACAATTTTTCCAACACCTTCAACCGTCCACTCCACCACTTACGTAACTATTTATTTCTTTAATTAACATATATTTTCACCATTGTATTTTTATTCATCAATACGACATGCTTGCATGTTTGATATGTTGGAAATATATAGGATATATACTGTTAGGGTTTGTCGAGAATGTGATTTTCTGGTCCAAATAATTTATTTCTTAGATACAACTTCAAAGATATTTCAATATATCATGTATATATGTGTGTCTTATCCTATATAAATGATTCTTCTACGTTGCAGTTAACTTTACTTGCAAACACAATATCGACAACCATATCCATCACGTACTGACAATTTTAAGTTCGTAGGATCAACAATATCAATGACAAATCCGCCTATAATGAAAATTCAATACTTGTTTGTCTACTAACGATGTATATCTTATTTAAAGGTATATATATGCAGATACTGGAAGTGTGTAATTATTCCACGATATCGTTCAACATAATGATATACTGTGAATCTGACCTAATGATTATGCTGGCTCTTGAGGATGGTGGTGCCCTACATTTATACATACAGTACTCTCTTTGGTTATAAGTACTCCAAACTGGAAGAGAGCTTGCAGTGAAAACTGTCAAGAAATCGACCACTTATTTAAGAAGAACGTAATTGTTTCTGTGATTTCTATTAAAAAAAAAAAAAATTTGGAATTAAGAATTTGTTAGTTCATAAAATTTTTGAAAGATTAATTTTTTTCGTGTTAATTAACTGTCAAGAAACTAATTAGGTCTTGGAAACTTATATTGTAGATAGCGTACTCATTCAGTTGTTCATGCAACTTAATTTCGTCGACCAGATTCTTGGTCAGCGTGAACATATCAATTAGGAACTTGAGATTGAACTGCTAAAATTAATCAGAGAAAACAGAAAATATTAAAAAAAAAAAAAATCATCCATCCTTCATATATTCCAATTCCATAGCTGCTAAAATTAAGGCTTTCCACGATCAACCCTTTACTCTTTTAATTGGTAAAGAACTTTTGCCCTCTTAAAGTAAAAACCAAAATAATTTATGGCTCATTTCCTTCAAAATTATTTATCAATGTGAGTGGGGTATTTAAACTACATACTTCTTCTAACAATGGAAGAAAATAATCACTAGATCAATAATTAGTTGGTTTTTTTTAATATTTAATTGATTATACTTGTTCGGGCGTAGTCCAAAGACTTGTAAAAAAAAACTTTTGTCTAAGTTACTAGCTAAAGGGAATTTTGATAATTAATCGAGACAAGGGAAATATGAATACAATTTTTTTAGTATTAGTGATATTCCACGCTAATTTATACTGACTGACACAAGAATGTAATGTATCTTCTCACTAATAAATAAATATATCAATAATTTATGATTAGGAAAAAAAGAAGGAAGTTATAACACTACGCGTAAAAGATAAGCTAAACATCGCTAGAACAAAAATGTGGTACAACTATGCATGTTCTAGTAACGTAGACTTATAACACCACGTCGCACTATACTACGTCATGTTGCCGTTACATGCATTTAATTAATTTTTGGAAATTACAAAAGGACCAAAAGAAATTCCGTATTCTTTTGTCAAAAATGAAAATAGAGATATTAAAACAAATCCAATGCATGAGATCACATGTGTCCGGTAAGCTCAGAAATCGGTGAAATTTTATCAGCTTCTTTCAGTTTTCAGCTGGAAGCGTCCAGAGATTAATGCAGTATGAAGGTTGAGCCAAAATTACTAAGAGAGAGAAAGTGATATGAGAGAGAGAGAGAGAGAGAGAGAGAGAGAGAGAGAGAGAGAGAGAGAGGGTCAAGCTAAGATAAGGCGGTGATCATGGACGAAAATAAGGATAAGATGACAAATGTGGATGAACTTCCGAAAACCCAAACCGCAGAAGTAATTCAGAATAATAAATTAAATTTAATAAACAAAACAAAAACAGAGAGCAGCTTTCAGCTTTGCTTTGCATGCTTATTAGTATTACACGTTTAGACTGCAGTTTTAGGAATTCTCTGGTCTTTAATCGTGTGATTATTGAGAGTTCATTAATTAATCACAACCCAGTTTAGCTTAAGTTAAATAAGCTTTCCCTCTTATGTTGGTTTTCTCCTCTTCTTTTTTCTGTTGTTTTACTCGAAATTGAAAACTGCCCTAAACGGCATTTGGTTTTGGATTTTTAGGGCAAATGTTATATCACAGTAAGAACATGTGCACTGCGTAAAACATGTCAGAACAAGTTAATGTTGGTCTTAATTAGTACATATATTAGCTAATTAGCACCAAATCCAGATACTAATAACACTAATTAGTTAGACGGAAGGAAATTTAGTTAGAACCAAGTGATGAAACAGTTTTTTTGTTGAAACTAAGTGATGAAACCCTAGCTAACCAAGCTTACCATGTTAATTATTTCAAAAAACAGACAAAAAACAAAAACAAAAACAAAAAGCTTAGCCTGTTAATTAAATCATCATTGATAATCAGCACTAAAGTAAGGAAAATCATCATTCTACTTGCATGATCATGAATTAAGTGTACTAAAGCTAAAGATTAATCATAACACGATCATAATTTAATTAATTAACTGGGTAATTAGTACACTGCAAGACCTCTCTTTTCTCTGAGCTAGCTACCTAGTAAAACTAAGTAGGCATTAAATGGAATAAAATTTGGTTAATTAGGGCACTAATTTCTTACCAAGAGTGTGCTTGTTGTTGTGCATCCAAACCTTGAACACATGGCGCTTCACTCCGGTCTCCGAGCAAAACTCCTCAATCGCTGCTTCGTCATGTTTCTGAATTCTCCACCCAACTTTCTCCGCGAACTCCAGCATCTTCTCCTTCTGCTCCTGCGTGAACTTTGTCCGGTGTCTCTTCTTGCTCATCCCGAATCCTCCTCCGCCTCCACCGCCGCTCGAACTAGGATTCGACACGTCCTCTCCCTCTTCCCTACTATGAGACCCTCCGCCGCCGCCTGATGCAGCAGGCAAGGCCAGTGTCGGCCTTGCGTGCGGCGAGGTGATCAGATAGCCAGAAGGTGGCGGCGGGCGATAGTAGCCTGAGGAGAATTGGTGCGGATGGTGGTGGTGGTGAAGGAGGTGGGACCCACCGGCACCCTGTTGGTGATGAATTAACTCGGCCTCGGGCTCCTTGCGGTGGAAGTTGCGGTGGCAATTGCAGGCGGCGCATTTTAAGGCATCGAGGGTGCCCTCGTCTCCCGCAGCGAGAAACTCCCCACAGCCGTCGAGGGCATGGCCGCCGATGCCGATGGCGTGGTTCTTGAGGCACTCTCTGTACCTGACCATGGCGGATACGGCAGTGGTGGTCGTGGTGGAGTTGGGTGTTGCGGCGGTTCCCCTTTTTCGAGCGCTGGGGGCAGCCCCCTCTCCTGTGGGCCCCATTTTGGGCCTGGAACTCGCCGCAACAGAGGCGTAACCTGGTGGCGCCGCCTGCAACTCCATCTCCTCGTCTTGCTCTTCGTGCTCGTCAAATTCCATTCTCTCTCTATGTCCTCTCTCTCTCTCTCTCTCTCTCTCTCTCTCACTCTCTCACTCTCTCTGAATTCTTAAGGAGAAGTGAAGATCTACATGGTTGCTGGTGAACCCAATGAACTGATAAAGATGACGATCAACACCAACAACAAAAAAGCTTCCTCAACCGGAGACAGACAAAAGTACATGACTGCTGCTAAATGTTGGTTTGTATTACATCCAAGTGTTATGTATGACATATTAGTAAATAATTATTTAGTTTTTTTTTTTTAATTTCAAATAACTGTTAATTTTTTTTATCTTTTTTTTGTTATCTTGTAAAATCGGTACTTTTTTAGAGAGGAGAAGATAAGAGGAGGGTGGAGGGTGTGGCCATCAATTCCCCAGTCTTACTCCAAACATTTCCCTTTCATTTACTTTACCTTCTTTTTCTTTTTCTTTTTTATAAAATGATATAATAATTATATTTAATTTATTTAAGTTACGTAAAAGAGAATTTAAAAGTAAGTGGATAAAATGAAGCACACTGTTTTAATCGACTTGACAAAACTCAAGTTTGTCTCTCCCATTTACTTTAAGTTGCTTTCATTTTATCCTAACTAGGTTAGGCGTTGCACAATAGTTTAAGTGCTTTGATTCTTATATATAAAAATCAGACGGTCTGAGTTTAATTTCTATAACATTATTGTTAGAGTGATGTGAGTTTGGTATATATGAGTTCTATACAATAATCGTGGGACCATTTTTTTTTTCTTTTTCTTTAATTTATGATTGGTTGTTCTCTTTTTATTTCTCAAATATGTGTCATTTATTACAAATAAATCACGCTATTCATGTGTTTGATATATTGAACCAAAAATAAGAATCACTCACTCGTATATTTTGATCTATTGTATGATTGTGATTTTTATATTATTGACATCACATTCAGTTTTACAGTTACTATGGAAGGCCTTAACTCTTTAAACCTTTCCCCAGGTTATTTTCTTTGGGATTTGTTTGGTAGCCTCTGCTTTTTTTCTTGTCATTTATTCCTTGGGTAATTGTATTGGTAGGAACATGGAGTTTGATGGGTTGTTTTGGGTTTTTGCGTTTTCGTTTTTATGTAGAAACAGTCTTTTATTTTGTTCTTTTTTATCTTTGTGGTAAAAGTGAGATTAGGAATCACTTTCTCAGTATTAGCATGAAAATAGAAAAAGGAAATGGCAGAGAGTGGGGAATACCCACTTATTAACCAGTATTCTCTCATGGCAGAAACCAGTGATTAAGGTAGCATATGTTGCAAGGTTCATGTTTGGAAACAGGGATAAGATATTTGAAGGGGTTCAATGCAAATTCAACCCTAATGACAGTTCTCTCCACTTTGTTGGAAGGTATTGAGTTTACAAGTGTAATGAAAAAAAAAAAAAAAGGTTAGCTGTTTATTTTATTTTATTTTTTTACGAACAAAGGATATTTTCTACACTAAGTTGGGAGGAGAGGGCTAAGCTTCACAATGAGCTAGCAATAATGTAGTTCAAATTCTCATTTAGCAAAAATCGAACTTTAGACCTCTCACTCAAGTGAAAATGAATACCACTAGATTGTGGTACTAAATGGCAACAACAAGTTAGTGAGACTTTTGCACATTCTTCTAATATAGTCTCAGTAACTGTTTGGTTATTATCTTCTCACCAATAAATAAATTTATTCGTTATTTTCAAATTACAACTTGATAAGAAAAAAAAATATAAATTACCTAACAAAAGAAGAAAGATAAATCGATTAACAAAACGTAAAAGATTGACTAGAACGAAGGTGTGGTCCACTATGCGTGTTGTAGTATGTGTGGACATATAACACCACGTCGTATATATCAAGTCATGTTGCCGTTACATACATATATACCATTATTTTTTCAAAATTGAGAAAGCACCAAAAGGAACTACTTTTTCTTAAATAAGAAAATAAAAACAAATCTAGTGCATGACATCACATGAGTACGCTAAGCTTAAATATCAGTGAATTTGATCAGCTTTACTCATAATGCACTAAAAAAATGACGGAAACAATCGTAACCGAACTAAAGTAATCACTACTGAACTAGTTGGGGTTGATTAAGAATGATTATAAACGTACATAGGACATGTCAATGTAACCAAGCTTGCACATGCTAAAAGAAACACCACAATTTCTCAATTACAAACTCATTAGAAATACAATACAATTTCTCAACCATGAAAGATCTACATCTAATCAACAAGAAAGATAATACTCACGAGTGCTAAACCTTGCAAGTTGTAGAACCATCGTAAAGGCATCACGAGGAAAACACTGCACCACCCACTATTGGTCTTGCAATTGTTAGCAAATTAAGAAGCACTTCTATGAATCACCACCAACAAATGTAGCTTCCTCCTCATAGTTCTTTCCATGCACACATACACAAATGCTTGTGATCCAGTATCCTAGTGGATATGGTATTGGGTTCTCACACATACATCCCAGGTTTGAAACTACCCTCCCCCTCCAAATTATTGTAATAATTTCAAACCCTCCCCCTTCCTTTAATAATTTTTTTTTTTTAAATGCACACACACTCAAAAGAAAAATGGAAATGACCACCTTATAACTCTGAACAACAGTCGCCGCTCAAAAATTCGAGTTTGACTTGTATGTAAGCCGTAAATGCTACAAATTAAATCTCTCATTGACATATTGGAAGAGAGACAACCACAAAGACTCTTTTCGCCAAAGCTAATGACTGACCACAACCGGAAGATGAAAAATTGAAAATGATTTCAAGATAGGACAAACAAGGAGGGGAAGATACCAATGTGGATCCTAGCTAGTTAGCAACTAGGGTTTTTATGCTACTCATTTAAATCTGAACTAATTTAATCTTCATGCTACAAAGGTTGAATCCGATCAAGATCAAATTGGATCCTAGTTCGAATTGAGTATAATGGGTTAGCCCCTCAATATCTATTGCGACTTGACCAACCACAATATATAGAGCACTAACCACTAAAAAAAAAAGAGTGGGAAAAAAGCTGGCCACATAAATTCTGTATATGATGTACTTAGTTAAATTTTCCAATATATATAAAGTTAATTAATGAATTGAAATATAACGGAAGATGAGGCAAATCAAATAAGTGATCCAGCTAGGCTGGATGTGGATCAAGAACCAAGGGAGAGGTGGGGTTGCTCCTACAATGCTTACTGCTTTAAAGATTGGCTACAGAGGCTGGTGTGATTTGCTGAGGACACTGATTTTACATGGGAAGATTTAAATTGTCGGCATTTTTGGGAGCTGCCTACGTGCCCTCCATTTTCAGACATTATATTCATGTGACGTCTTCTTCTCCCAACAACTTTTAAAACTTATTCGACCCAGCTTTGATTTCTCACGGACTTTATTTACAGTACTGTACTCTCAAGTTTAGAATTTTTCGGCATGCATGACTGGGTTTAGGGGTTTATAATTTCTTTTTGAAGTAATTAAAGTGAGCTTGAGAACTAAATTGAATAATTCTTGCTTTCCATGGTCATGGCCCCTGCAAATTTCAAATCAATTAACAGTTCGTAGTTAAGGTGAGCCAAAGTTCTTCCATGGAGTCTGCTCATGGTGGAGGAGCGTATGGCAGTTGAAGGTCCCTAACAAATCAAAACACTTTGTGTGGCGGTGCTGCAAAGGAGCTTTAGCGGTGCAACATAATTTAATTAGGAGAAGGATGAGAGTGGAGAATATATATTTGTAGGGTCTGTGGAGAAGAGGATGAGACCCAATTACCGTCCCTCCAGACATGTTTAGCTGTCCAACATTGGCCATGGACCCTGCAAATTTCTCAAATGCTCATATAAAAAAAATTGAATAATACTTGCGTTTCCGACATGGGGAATGCACATATTTTATCTTTTACAATAACGTGTTTTGGCTGTATAAACTTTATAATTAGGACATCTCAATTTTTTAATCTTCATTTAAAATCATCCATACAAAAAGATTATATAAAGCAAAGATCGTTTAATCATTCAAATGTATTAAATAAATGAACGGTTCATCATAAATATGTCACTTAGTAGTTGGTACTCACACGGTTGATTTGTTCCATACATTTGGATGACTAAACGATTTTCTAATTTGAATAATTTTTGGTAAAAATGATCTTCAAATGAAGGTTAAGAAATTAAATTATCCAAATTATAAAATTTATATAGTTAATATACGTTACTCAAAAGAAAAATATTTGCTTTCCCCAAAGAAAACGCAAATATTATTTGAAAAAAAAAAAATTAGAGAGGACCAATGTAATGGAAGGAAACACGTACATAGACCCACCAAATTAAAAAGAAAATAGACTTTCCCAAAGTTAAAAAAAAAAAAAAAAACTCCTTCACATTTCCTTTTGCATAGTAATGCAGTATAAACTATAAAGTTGAAAACAACCCTTGGGCTGTCTTTGCTAATTTTCTGTATTCCTCTGTTAGCTTTGGCCTAGTTTCCATCCCTCATGTTTTTGTTAGTTTCCTCCAAAGTCAAAGCTAAATAGATTTGGCAAATGCTGTTGTTGAGGTTGAGTCATACTACTAGTGTTTTTCCTGTGCTAATCTGTTCCAATATTAAGATTCCTTTTACGCTTACACTTTATATTTTATGGTCATCCAAATTTCAGATTCTATCCGCTAATTACTGATACATATTTATTAATTCATTGAACTCACACTGGATGCAGTAACATCAATCAACTCATATTATTGGAAGTCTACAAATAATATTGGCTAATCATATTTTAACGCTCATAAGTAAGATTCGAATTTCTGTAGTTTTTCTTTTTTCCCAAAAGTATTATAAAATATTTAGCTTACAGTGTAGAGAACTAAAGCAATATGATTATTAATAATCGCAATCCGTTAGATTTTGCTCAAAGGACAAAATAATTCAATGTACTCTATAACCATCTTCTGTTTCCTCTCTCTCTCTCTCTCTCTCTCTCTCTCTCACACACACACAGAGTTACTCGGCATTCCTTCAAGATCAAAGAGAATTCTTCTGAGATAAACAATCCCGCGAAGTTTTCACAACGATCCTGATGAGATTCCAACTAAAAAAATGACAAAACCATCAGCTTAAGTGGTGTTCAAATCATGTTATGAAGTGAGTTGCTTCTTAACTGTTACTCATAGGCATGCAATGCATGTTACATGTGAAGAAAGTTAAGAGTTCCACTATAAAATCAATTGGTAATATGGGGAGTAGCTAGTACAATCTCTTATAAGCTCATGCAAGGTCTCTCATCCCATTAACGTGTGATT